AATGCATTTATAAGATTATTTCTTTGTTGCTTTGTATGTCCCTCCCCCACAGTATAACCCCTGCTTTCACTGTATTTGATGTCAGTATAATTTGTGGAGGGGAAGGGGAAAAACAAGTCGTTTAAATAAGGGTACAGGTGGACCCATTGCAACAATGAGAAGTACAAGTTGTCATGTCGAAAACAAATTTACAACTTTGGTGTTGGTGAGGGAGTATTTGGGGGGGGGATGAGGCTGGGAAGGGATGGGAAGGGGAAACAAAGAAGGAGGCTACAATGCTTGATAAGAAATGTACTCATTATCTTGCCCATGTAATTGTAACCCCTCTGTACAGTATTTTCACAATAAAAAATTTTAAAAAAATAAAAAAATGATGTTTATTGAAATGAGCTCCGAGAAATGCAAACAAGAAGTTTGTTATTGTACTGTTTGTAGTTCCTTTTCTTTTCTTTCCTTTTTAATTCCCTTTTGTCACATATTTTTTTTTCTGTACCCTTTCTCTTGTATAGAAGTCTATCTGATTTGGGGACAGAAAGGAGAAGCACAGAAATTATGGGACAAGAAGTGAACTGATTCAGCAGTGATATTCTCTGGACACTATAGTGGAAATAAACTATAGAACTCGGATGGGGAGAGATGGGAGGGGAAAAACTGGGAGATAACAAGAGCCTGAATGACACTGTCAAAAAAGAAATGTACTCATTAATTACCTGACTTATGTAGCTGTGACCCCTCTGCATATCACCTTTACAATAAAATTTTAAAAGGAACACATGTACCTAAACTGCTAACTAAATAAACAAAAAAACAAGGCAAAGAGAACCTAAATGTCTAGCTCAAGACCTTCTAGGTGACAAATGACCTTCTGGCCCAGAACTAATGGTGTTTTCTCCCTTCCCCTCTAAATTTACACAATCCTTATTGCCAGCACCCCTCACCATCCAGACATAGCACACCCTTCTCTGCTTGTCTTCAGTGTTATTCTCTCTGTTTCTGTCTATTCCTTTTCTTAGTTATATCTTGTATATTTAAGTCGCTGCACAAAGGGGTTACAATTCAGTATGTCAGTTTGAGAGTACATTGCATCTTGATCACAACCATCCCTTTCATCATTCTCAGATCTATGTTCCTTCTTATAAAGATAGCTCCATAGAGTGAGACCCCCCTAATACTGCAGTCACTGTAACTTGAGTACCTCACAAAGGTCCTCTCTTCATCCCACATAGGGAGAGATGGAGGCAGAATGCACAGGTGTTTTCCATTATAAACATTTCTATATTATTTGATTTCCATGGCCTTGTGTAAATTATATACATATATAAATGTAAATAGCTATATAAATAAGATGAGGTTGTCTGTTATTAGACTGTCTTCTACCTGGGATAAAACCTTGCATGAATTCAGATGACAGAATTTGGCAAAGATTAACATAGCCTTTTTTATTCTCAACATACCAAAGGACTTCCTAAAAATCTCCACTTTTCAATATTAAGTCACGAATCATTTCCTAAGTGGTCCTGGAATCCACAGTGTTCGCAGTGGTGCTAGATACCAGGCTAGGCCCACAGATGCAAGGATGTCTATCTTCAAGCAATTAAAACTCCAACGGGCAGTAATTACATCAGGATACTGTTGACTGAGCATGACAGAATTCCCCAGCTGGAGTGCATGGGAAGATGGGGAGCTAACATTCAGGGTTAGGCTCTACTTTCCATGACAGCAAATCCAAAATTATACAGGATAAACAAGACAGAGGTTTATGACCTCCTCATATAAAATGGTCCAGAGGGAGGCAGCTCAGGATGAACCTGATTCTGTGTATCAGGAGGCCTAGATCAGCCTGGACACCAAGCCTCTGTTACGTGACATGGGACATTCTATGTTGTATTCAACCCACAGACTTTCCAGTATCTTCAGCCAAGATGACTGTGGACTATTTCTAATCAGCAGGAAAGAGAAACCAAGGAAGAAGAGCCGGCATCTTCCCTGATTATTCTCTTAGGCCAGGATTTAGTAACATGACCACAGCTCACCCTCTAGGGATCTTTCCTTTGGATATCTTTGAATTAACTAAGTCTACATTTCCCCAAGAAGAAGGATCTGACAAATAAGTAAGCACCAGTAGACAAGGCCTGTCATCACCATGAGGCCAATTACAGCTTTCCATGGGACCAGAGAATCGAGGAAGTGAATCCTGAGGGATGAACAGACCCAAGGAAGATCAAGGAGAGTGACTGGGAGGCAGAGACACAGCAATGTGTCTTTGTTCCAATGGTGACTCATCCCAAAGACATAAAGCTGGGCAAGGAATCCTTCAGCCCCTCTGGTTAATGTGAGCAATTCTCTTTCCTGAATAAAAATGTGGAGTTTCATATTTAACAAGAAGGCCAGGCACTGTATGTAAAGTTGCTGGGGTCTTAATGTTGTTGCAATTACAGTTCATCAAATTCACAGCCATCTCTGACAGCTCAGGGTGCTTCGTGGTCGATGTAACAAAATGAAAAATCAATTGTGCTGCGAGTGCATTATTCATATATTTGGTTTCCAATTATTTAATGAAAACAGCTCTAGCTGCATTCTCCAGGAAGAATGTGCCAAATTACAAAATCCTACAGTCAACTTCTTGTATGAGGAATCTTTAAAAGATTCAGAAATACAACAGTGGCATATTTAAGATAATATGTTAAATTATGAAATGTACTCTCAGAAATACTAGATATTTCCTGCCAGACCAGTGTACACATACACCAGGACATCATTTCTATGTTAGCCAAATATCACAATGCACATTTCCTCATTTATTCCAGAAAATTGCCTTACTTATGTTAGGACAGCGTTTGAAATTTGGTCACAGTGTGCTACTTATGTCTCAAGTATTTTATTATCAAGATTCATAAATTAAACCGCATTTAGATTTGAAAACAAAAAGGATACCTCAGAAGTCCTCCAGCTTTGCATATGCCCTCAAGAGATTAATAGTAAATGCATCAGATCTGAACAAGTAAAGAAGATGAATGGGCCCCAGTAACTCATCAGGGGCTTGCAGGCTTCATGTGGATAATTCCTCAACTCTAATGCTTTGAACTTTGGTTAACGATTATTACAGATGAAAGAGAATGTGGCTTACCATGTTCCCCAAAGACCTGCACATTAAATTCCAAAGGCAGCAGGTAGAAATATGAAACAGGGCGAGATTGACCTCAACCTCCTTTCTTTTCTGCATTCAAGGCACATTTCAATCCACTGTCATTTTTATAACTGAATCTCCTAAACGCCCCCTCCCCTCCCTCTGCCCCCTCCCCTCCCTCTGCCCCCGTCCTGGACTTTTCTTGCATCTTTTCTTGGCCATCTTGCATCATCCAGATTACAATTCCTTTTTGTTGTTGTTTTTAAATGTCTCAAATACAGATTTCATCTGCTAAGCTAAATAAAAATAGATCATTCTGATATCTATAATGTATCTATTTAAATCAGTACTATACAAAGTGTCTACTGTATTTTCCTACTAGTTATCAGTAGTGTTCTTCCCATCTATACATTCAAAAAAAAATCCCTGTCTTAGGCCAGGCATGGTAGTACATGCTTACAATCTCAGGTTCTTATGAGGCAAAGGTAGGAGGGTAGTTTGAGGCTGGCCCAGTCAAAGGCATGAGACCTTATCTAAAAACAAATTACAGGATAAAGGGCTGGTGGTATAGCTCAGGCTATACCTGGCTAAAGAGAGTAAAAACTGGAGTTCAGACTCCAATAGCAAATACAGCGTGGATCACAGGTGGTGGTGCGAGAGGGAAAAAACAGGAAACAAGAAGTGTGTCCACAGGACTAAGCACTAAAGAGAAAGAACAAAAACATGGAGACAGGAAAGGGCACTCCTGAATGATTCATTTTAAACTCCTAGTTACTGTATCTGGTGCTGAAGTCTCACTACCAAAAACAAAAAACAAAAACAAACAAACAACAAAACAAATCACAAGCCTGAATTTAATTTGTTCATCAGACTTAGAGGAACCATCTAGTAGGTGGGACTTCCTCCTTTTCCTCCAATCACCAATCTTCTCCCTGTATATTGCCCCCTCATACTCGAATGTTAAATGTATCTATCCTGCATCCAAGACCTTACTAGTGACAACAAGATCCAGTCCCTCAATCAAGGAACATGAGTGCTTGGAGCAGAGTCTACTATTGAAACAACATTTCATTGCTGATGGCTCACAACTGTAATCTTAGTTACTCAGAATGCAGAGATCTAAGCCAGACACAAAAGTCAAATCCCTGAGACTCTTATCTCTTATTAGTCAGCAAAAGGTTAGAAGTGGAGGTGTGGCTCAAGAGCTAGAGCACCAACACAATGCTCTAGTCCTATGGACACACTTGTTTCCTGTTTAGAAAAAAAAACTAAAGGTGAACATTAGGCACTGAGTTCAAATGCCAGTATGAAAGGAAAGGAAGGGAAGGGAAGGAAAGGAAAGGAAAGGATAGAGGGAGGGAGGGAGGGGGGAGGGAAGGTAGGCAGGCAGGCAGGCAGGCAGGCAGGAAGGAAGGAAGGAAGGAAGGAAGGCAGGCAGGCAGGAAGGAAGGAAGGAGGGAAGGAGGGAAGGAGGAGAAGAAGAAAAAGAGGGGGAGGGACAATTTGGAGAAGAGAGAAAGGAAAGGAGGAAGGGAGGGAAGGTGGGAGGGACATAAGAGACATAAGAGAAGAAGGAAGGGAGGAGGGAAAATTTCTATTACAACAGGAAGAAGTCTCACTTACAGAAGAAAAACACCATCAAGTTGAAAACTACAAGAACAGCTTTACATCAGTCAATTGTTTAAAACAAATAGCAAGTGGATGTTTTTAGGGAGAATTTGTTGATGAAAAAGCATTATGAAGACCTTGGTAAATAATTCAGACAATTTTTCAGATGAAATGAGTTCAAACCACCTTTGGAAAACCAATTTGTTGAGTGCTATAACAGTGAAGTCTTACCTTGTGGTAACACCTAAAGTATGCAGCCCGCTCATCAGAAAATTTCTCCAGTCTTTTTGGACCCTTGCTTGACGCTTTCTTGAATACTAACCAGCATCGCTGATAGATCTGGAAGGAAATGCAAAGACAGGTCAGCACCTCCACGTGCGCAATGGTGACTAACAGTCGGCATCGCTGATAGATCTGGAAGGAAATGCAAAGACAGGTCAGCACCTCCACGTGCGCAATGGTGACTAACAGTCGGCATCGCTGATAGATCTGGAAGGAAATGCAAAGACAGGTCAGCACCTCCACGTGCGCAATGGTGACTAACAGTCGCCATATTTAAATCCTTACTTTTTGTTGTTTTCATCAGTGCATGAGTCACAAGCCAGAAATACGATGTTGCTTCAGAAAAGAAAACAAAGTTTTAAAAATGTTCCCTCAATGGGCAAACTATATGGTCTAGACAGCTACTGGGGGGAAGGAGTAAAGTCACAATATTCAGTGAATATCCTACAGAATTAAGGAAACTGAGGGGAGGGTTTGGGTTTCGGAGGGAAGGGGCATGTGATGAAAGGGGCAACATCAACCAAGATGCACTGTACTCAAACCTGATTTGTTAAATTGTAACTCCTTTGTACAACTACTTAGAGATAATAAAAATATAATTATAAGAAATAAAGATAATAAATAAATAAATGAAGGAAAGTCTCCATGACTATTCTGAACTGAGGACACTTAGTTTTTGTTCACACAATATGCCTTCGAATACGATTACAGCTATGTTATAAAAAATTAATAAATTATTAGTTAATAAATTTAAATTACTAAATAATAAATTATTCATAGTCCTCTAAACACATTGTAGTCAAATGCCTTCCTGTCTTGATATCAGTTATCACTAGGTACATTTCAGGAAAAAATAAATCTTGGAGAGAAAAGTCCCAAATCAGTACAAATGACATAAATATTCCTGACACATGCTCAGGATTCAAATATAGCTAAATCTGAACATAACAGGCTCAAGGATACACTGAAGATACACTGCCCACTTCCTAGAATGAGCCAGACCCTGTGTATCACATGACACTCCTAAATGATGCTGAAGTAGCCAAGAGATCAACAGAACCCAGAAACTTGCTTAGGAAATTCAACCCAGAGACTCCAGAATTACTCTCAGAAGGAGGGGCAAGGTTGGGAGGTTATAAACCAAAGCTGACTACATCATGGGTATGCAGTAGGGCACCAGATTGTTTCCACTCCAAGAAAAGAAGACCTTTCATTTCTTTCTTCTGTTGCAATCCCTAATTCTGAGATCCAGCTCTTCCTCCACATGCCTTGAGGAAGCTACACAGCAACCAGAACCGCTTGCTGCCAAAGCACACCGCCTGCTCCAGAAGGCGCCATTCCAGGCGCAACTGTCTCAGACAGGACTTGCACAGGACTTTCTGCCATCACAGGCCTCTGTGGACTCTAACAGCCATTTCCTTTCAGGTCAGAGTGGGAACCTCTTCCCCTGGGGCTCTGCAGAAAGCCTGTGATTGACTGGTATTAACACCTCAGGGGATACAAGCAGACTGTTCCACAGTCTGGAGACAACAGGCTGGATCACACACTGGTATTGCAACATGAGGCCCTTTCAAAGGTTTCTCCTAAGTTGTCTTTTCTGGCCTTTGGTCTTTATCATTTGATCTTTTTCATTATCAGAGCATGAAGATGAGATAGCCAAGAGGAATCAGGGTGGAAACAGCAACAAGAGGGAGAGAGCAGCTGGGAGCAGAAGCAGCAGAGATGTCGATGACGGGCAATAGAAACATGTAGAAGTTGAGGGAGGAATTCTATGCGATTCCATTGCTGAAAGAGTTCCTGGGAGCTTCCCAGTGACCCCCCACTGGGGGTCAGGAGTGATGACCCCAGCCGAGGCTCTAGAACTGTGATACCAGCCACTGTCAGAACCCATGAGTTTGGACAGCTAAAGCCTGGAAGCCAAAACCCTAGCTGATGCTGGTGGCTCCTGGTTGATTCAAAGTGGAGCACTACATAGCTTCTGCGGGCTGGACACTAAGCCTCAGACCAGAGTACCTAGGGCTGTAAGTCTCTGGCTTCTAGACCCTGGAGTCATAAGCTTCTCATTCTCGGGCCTTGGAGCTGGAAACCTCAGAAGGTGCCAGCCCAGTTCTTAAGTTGTTAGACTCAAAGACCCAACATTACAGGAACTGTTCCTCACCGACTCAGGATTGCTATCTGAGTAGAGTCAAATCAGCTGATGGGTAATAGTTAGGGATGGGGAGGGTAAGGGTGAAGGGAGCAGGGTATCACTTTAAAGGGTTAGTGTGAGGTTCTTTTGGTGGTGAATCATTGCATATTAACTGTATACATGTCAGTATCATGTTTATGACATTGTCCTATGTTTTTGGAAGATTTTTACTACCAGAGAAACTAGGAAATGGGGGTAGTAAACTTACATAATCATTCCTACAACTGAATCTACAATTCTCTCAAAAATAAAATGTCTAATTATTACCAGTGAAAGGAGGTACAGGTGCTTAATCAAGATCTTCAGATCACTACCCAATCTAATAATTGTTATCTACATCCTTCTATAGTCCTTTAGTTCTCTTTTATCCCCCTTCAGATCATAGTCTAATTACCCATCTGATTAACTAACTTTAGGAAAGCAAGTCATTCAAGCGCCATTGAGAAGAATTCGAGCACAAAATCCTCTTCATGAATTCATCCATGAAAATTAGCATTCTCAGTGTTACGGCTGGAAAAGAGTCTTATCAACAGCCTGCTTGTGTCTGAAGAACAGATGAGTTCACTGGCTCCCTGAAACCTGTCCTAGCACTGTAATTACAGTGCAATGACTGACAGTCAGAAAGGGTGTGGGAGTGAGGCTTCACTATCAGGTTATTATTGGCTTTTGTAAAAGCCCCCGAGAATGTGCTCAGAAACTAAATGTTCTGCAGGTGTGCAAAATATAATAGGTCCACTACAAAAAGAAGATATTGTCGCTAAGAAAAATACTTTAAATTTCTAATTATGCCTCAATTTTCAGATTCACATTTTAGTGAGAGCTTTTCTCATTTTTCCTTCTAATCTGTTCATTTTCTTCTCTGTTGAACCAGGACTTGCCTGGCTTATTTCCAAAGACTGCGGAAAGCAAACGAACAATTCCTCAATTTCAGTGTGTCTCAGGATTTCCATTTGGGCCCATGGCTATTAAGTTTGGGAAAATCCAGTTTGTTGCTCTTTTCACTGAGCAGTAAGGATGACAGTACAACATTCAAGTCAAATAAAGGCAAAAATACTACCAAAGAAATTCACATGTGTGCATTCTTGCTGCGAAGTCACTGAAATAAATTAAAACCTGTTGGCTCATCAGGAGATAAGGAAGGTTCAAAGTGGACTGATGAAAGGGTGGTTCCGGATGTCAACTTGGAATATACACACGGGAGCCACATGGACAGGACAGAAGCGGAGAATGGTTTGTGCAATCAAGATCCTTCTTTCATTCTGTCATCCCTAATATACATCAGTGACTCTCAGAGTGTGGTCCAGACTCACTTGAGTTACTTGCACACTACTGGAGATTATACTAGGTCTACAGAATCAATGTCTCATGGGAAGGCCACACAAACTTGCTCTTTAGCTTGCTCCAAAGGTATCTGTAAATATTCATGGAGCCCTTACAAGCTGTGCCGTACCTCCCACTTGAGACTGCCCATAAACGTTTCAAAGGTTTCACCATGGAGCCTTCTGACAGTGGGGGTCCCAGCAGGGGAATTTGGTAGCAGTTGAGCCAGAGCAGCATCCAATGTCATCTTGAGACAGAGACCACACACTAAAGGACAAATAAAATTTGTTGGTGGCTGGGAAGGTGGCTCAGTGGTAGAGCACTTGCTTTGCATGCCTGAGGCCCTGGGTTCGATTCCTTAACACCACATAAGCAAAAAGAAAAAAGCCGGAAGTGGCACTGTGGCTCAAGTGGTAGAGCGCTAGCCTTGAGCTGAAGAGCTGAGGGACAGCGCCCAGGCCCAGAGTTCAGGCCCCATGACTGGACCCAAAAAAATAAATAAATAAAATAAAATAAAATTTGTTGGGATGCCATAAATGCCCAGTATCCCATCGCTGGACCGCTTGGTCCTATGAACAGAGAAAAGGCCTTCTAACTTTTATATCCCAAACAGCTCAGCAGAATTAGAAGAAGCCACCCAGAGGACACACTCAGGACCCATGCCAGCATGGAGACTCGTTGGATTAACACCAGCATTGTTTCAAAGAGTAACACTTTGAAAACAACCCCTTTCAATTAATAGTTTCCACTGACAGGCAGACTTTTACATATATCCATTCAAGGGTGCCCACATCTCTTTGCTGTACTCACATCAACTTTCTCAACTTACAAAGAGCACATAACTGCAAACAAGTGTGGCTACAAAATTCTTGCCGAAATGAAATAACATGCTTGGAAGGGAGACAAAAGTTGGTGGACAGCTGATGGTTTTCAATTTTTAGCACATCAACAAATACCTCTCATGAAAGGTTAGGAAGTAAATACGCTCACCTTTGAGGGGCATGAAGGCAGCCACAGAAGATATGCAAATGAATGGGCATGGCTATCTTCCAATAAAACTTCATTTGCAAAATGAAGCAAATGTCTTTTTAAAACAGGGATTTTTTTGGTTGTTGTTTTTGTTGTTCGGTCTGGGCCAGACTTGTTCTTGGTTTAGGAATGTCTGATCTATAATAGAACTTCCTATTACTTAACTCTGGTCACCTTCAATAAACATAAAAACCTGTCCGATGCTGGTGGCTCACACCTGTAATCCTAGCCACTCAAGAGGCTGAGATCTGAAGATCATGGTTTGAAGCCAGCCAGGCAGGAAAGTCCATGAGATTTTTATCTCCAATTAACCACCATAAAACAAGAAGTGGCACTGTGGCTCAAAGTGGTAGAGCACCAGCCTTGAATTAAAAAAAACAAAAAAAAAATGTCCAGGTGCTGAGTTCAAACCCCACAACCAACAAAAAATAAACATAAAAACCTGTGTGGCAAGGCCCTCCTAGGAGAAACCGAGGGGTGAGTGTGTTTCATGGCCATTCTATATGGTCTCATCTCCACCCACACTGAGATTTTTTTACCTGTTACATGAAAGTGTTGGAGACCTTTCAATCCCTTCCACCAAATTTCTAGTCCCCTCAGTTGACAAAGTGGCTGCCACTGTTCCTCAGGCACCAGTTCCTCCACCACCACCCAGTATTCCAGAGACCTGAGCATCCCATCTCCCGCCTTGAGATAGAGTTACGTCTTATTCGTGATCATATTGTAGGAAGTTAACATGCGCATTAAGTTAACGTGCGCATGGGGGTAAAAAGATACATTGAAAATGCTTTCCTCTTTACCAGCATTCCTGTCCCCTCTAGAGCACTGACCTCAAACCTGAAAGAGAACTTCAGCTATGCGGTGTAGAATTAACCTAATTCACAGGTCCTGTTTTTACCAGCTCCTCAAGACAAATGGAGTGGCGAACGTTGGCTGAGTTCTTTCTCCGTTTGTAATACTGAAATGCTGAGTCCTCTGGGTACTTTTATTTCACTGAATCTTCTCAAACATCCTACAAGGCCAAGCCCTAGTTTTACCTCTGTCTTCAGATGACTGGGCAGATCATTAACAAGAATCAACATCTTACTAGGGGTTCTAAAGCTAGAGGACAGTTTGATTCGGTTTCCCCATCTCAGGGAAAACAGCCCTGAACCATTACTCCAGCGTTTTCCAGAGAAGTTAAAGTCCCAGAGATGTAGAAACTCATGCTGAGAGTCAGGCCATCTGTAGGAAGTTTATTTTCATGCTTATCATAATCTAAAAGGAGACATCTAGTTGTAACCATATGTTCTTTCGTCTGGACAACCACTTTGTGGCAAATCTATTTCTGAGAGGCATTTGCATTTGTGATTTGAAGTCCGCTGGCACCAAGCATTCAACCACAGTGGTAGGTTTTTAAGGAAGTATTTCTGAATCTAAGGCCTTAGGAAATAAATCCAGGACTCTAAGGTATCCTGGCAGTATGAAAAAGGGTTTGTTCTGAAAAGGATTTCATACTACCTTTTTTTTAAGAGACAACATATTGGGTAATTTTGACAGAAGTCAAAAAACCCAAGCCTGCTTAAGCATTTCCTACTACATTAGCAGCATCCTATGCAACTTCTCGATTTTCCCTGGCTTCCCTCGTGTCTCTAAGGCAAGTCTCGTGGGCTTCCTAAGTTTCAGTAGCAGCAAACCAGTAGATGTACAGGTTCACTGACTCTCATGGCATTGTGCAGTCCGCCACCTGGAGAGAGCTGACCAGTCACTTCTTCATGAGCACCTGACTCCCCCATTTGGTACATGCCACCCCCATATAACAGACTGAGGCTCCTCTGCATATGGAGGCTAATGGAATGCCACAATCCACTGCCACTGCCCCCCAAAACTCCAGCTGGTTGATGTAATCTGGAAGTCAAAGGAAGAGGCTTTAGCCAAGGACAACCAAGAAAGAGAAGCAAACCCAACAACTATCTCTCCATCCTGCCAGCTGTTGATTTGCAGTCTCTACGCCGCTACAATGCACATAGGAGGGTTAAAAAGTTCCTGTTCTATTTAATGACTCTCCCATAACAGGATTTCAGAAGTTGGTATATGAAGAATACGAAAGGGAGCTTTGTGCATCTTTAAATCTTAATTTGCAGACTGATGCCAACCCTGATTCTCCTAAATAATGAGCTGGGTCAGAATCATGTATTTTATAATGGGGGAAGGAACATACTTTTAATGAGTAAACAACATGATTCCATGCCTATCATTTGTGCAAGCCTTTCATTGTATAAGGAAAGAAATACTCATTTAGAGAAGAATGTGCCCATGGGTAACCAGGTACATTTTAAATTCACTGCAACAGAAAAACACCAGCAAAATGAGATAATTAATCATAAAATAAAATATGTATAAAGAGAACTTAAAATACTTTGGAGGCACCCACAGGCAATAAATTAGCTATGACAACCCTCTACTAATGGCAAAGTGAATTAGCACGGCCCTTCTGGAAGCAGAATGGATGTTTCCACGTTGATCCAGAAATGCTACTTGTAGGAAATCCCCCTGGGGAAAGAATGAAGGAAGTGCACAAACATGAGAGAACAGTGCTTCTGGGGTAACAACTGGAAATACCCTAATGTTCCGGAGATGATTCCAATTCATCATGGCATATATGTAAGCGGAAATACCCACCATTAAAAACAAGGCTGGAAAAGCATAATGCTTGTAACCATAGAAAATGCTACTGGCAAACTGTTAAATATACAAAGGAAGGAAGTTCTCCCTGCTTTTGAATGCTCCTCCTCCAGGACATATGCAGCAATCCTCATTCAAATAAGCAAAATTATAGTCTACCTAATATCCCCCCCACACACACACACACAATTCTAGAGGAATACCTGTGCTTTCAAGGGGACATGCCCCCTTTAACACAACTTCTTGCATTTTCTGCTTCTGATTCTGCAGGAGTTACTAACACCACACCCTTTCCTGACAATTCTGTGTCCTAGTACACATTCAGATTTTGGTGTAGGCAAAGCAATAACAGAATGCTTTTCTAGTGGGTACAAGGCCCTGGGTTGGGTACCTAGAACCACAAAGAAGGAGATGGTCCGTTATTTTTAAAGACTTTATGGAAGCCCTATTTGCTATAAGCTGTTCAAACCATTCTCACAACACCTAGGAAGGTCTGTCCCTGGTCAGAGCAAAGTTGACAAGGTCTGAGGTGGAGTTTTTGCAAGTTAGCTATTGCTGTATAACACACCACCCTTATGACAACCACTCCTCAGTTCTCATGAATATAAGAAGCAAACAGGCAGCTATACTGACCTGTCCTAGCTTCATTCATCATGGCTAAGTTCATTCTTACATAAACAGTCAAATCACAGCTTCTCATAAGCTGCTTCGAATGACCCATTCTGTACAACACAGTCTCCACCAGGCTCCACCAGGCTAATTCCTATCCCTAGCCTCATTATTAGCTTATTCTTCTGGAGGAGACAGAAGAGAAAGCAGAAAGTGTAAATGGTTTTCACCTTTTAATTAACCTTTATCATGGAAGATAATGATAGATTCGCATGCAATTGTAGAAAATACCACGGAAAGATCCTGCAAGCTGGGCACCAGTAGCTCAAGCCTGTAATCCTAGCTACTTAAGAGGGTAAGATCTGAGGGTCGCAGTTCAAAGCCAGCTCAGGGAAGAAAGTCCATGAGTCTCTTAACTCCAATAAACTGCTTAGAAAAAGCTAGAAGTGGAATTGCAGCTCAAGTAGAGTACTAGCCTTGAGCAACAAGCTCAGGGACAAAGTCCAGGTCCAGAGTTCAAGCCTCAGGACTGGCAAAAAAAAAAAAAATCCTGCATACCCTTCACCAAATCCTCCTCAATGGTGCACACTGCAAAACCTTAGTACAATATAGATGTTGTTATAGAGAAGACACAGAACAGTTCTGTTTACCAAAGACCCTCAATGGCAAAAACCACTTCCTAGATGCCTCACGATGCCAGTTCACTGGAGACCACCAACCTGTTCTCTTGTTATAGCGTTTGGACATTTCAGGAAATAATTTGGACATTGCATGAAATAATCACACAGTCTACACATGTGGACTGTGCCCCTCTATACAGGTGGTGCTATACCATGGTATCAATGTGTCTCAGTTCGCTATCTGCTCACTCAGTGGAAAACATTTGGGTTGTTTCAAATTCTGCCTTTATGAATAAGTTTCTATTCTGCAGTCAGACACAGACTT